ATAATAATAATAATAATAATAATAATAATAATAATAATAATAATAATGTGGATTATACAGATTTACCTGAGCGTAAACTCCAATATAAATTGAATAAATATACCTGGCATAGGATTATATTATTAAAATTATACATTGTAAAACCAAGGTTCAAGAAATTACAAACATGTGCAGAAGACAATAAATAAGCAATAATTGGGAGAAGCAAGTTAAGAACCATTCGCCGTGACTAAGCTGTGGAAGTATAGTAAATAACACTCTGGTAAAATACCCTTGCTGAGTTAGGCCCAAAGTCTATTATAATGTCTAAATCTACACCCAACTAGCCTCCAGTGATGTACAAGTCTAACAGCATCTTGCTTGTTACTGGTTTATAGGGACTCTGATAGCTTTATCTACCATGAAAAATATTGCCTTAAGGGCTTTCTCGGAGCAGGATATGATATATAGAGCAAGAAAGCTGTCCAAAGTAGAGATTTATTTTCTAGAATTTACTTTAGCAAAAGTTGGCTCAGGAGCTAACTGAAGCGAGATGAGAGAGAATGTAACTAGGAAACACAGCCAAAATGTAGACCTTAATTATTTCTAATGTCATAATAAAACATCCAAAATTACACAGTATAAATTAATGGGATATTGGTTAAGACATCCCTTCACTTCCCCAAATTCAAGGGATAAAAATGTCCTGTACATAACCAAACTGGCATCATATAGACCTTAGAGGAAGATTTATTTCCTATTTACTGCATTTTCATCTCATTTTTTTCCTCCTTCAAGGTTCCCTTTAAGTTGAGGAAGCCTTGCAAAGTGATTGAGGCTGAGAGAAAAGGCCCACCCATCCTGTGATTTTTGAAGAGAAGGGAGAACGGAAGGGAGGGATGTGAAGGATTTTTTAAAAAAGGATGTTTCTACGTAATTCTTACTTTTAAAAAGAAATTAAGGCTGCCATAAATATAAATCCACTCACCGACTCAGATTTTACTCAATGAATCCTGACTGCAAAAAGAACTTAAAAGAAAGTAGATGAGGAAACGGAATGGAGTATTCTGCAAAGGGCACAGTGAATAATGTTTGTTGATTTATATACCAGTTTTTGGCCCTGAAAAGTAGCTGATGATGAAACCTATTGTAAATACACAATCCGTAACACACACACACACACACACGCACGTATCTCACACAGGCACACCTAAAAACCAGAAGCGAGATGGAATTCATCTCCAGGAAATTAAACGGCGAAAGGGGAAAAAAACGTTAGTCACACATTGGAGCAAAACCTAGAAGAAACAACAGATACCACGATATTTGCACAGCTGGCTGGGGAATTCTGGGTGTTGGAAGTCCACTCACCTTACAAACTGTCAACTTTGAGGAACAACTGCTAAAAGAATCGTTGTAAGAGAGGATCTTCTCCGCGCTAAATGACACCGCTGGGAAGACTCTGCTTAATGTCCCAGGTAAGTATACCTGGATGCTACGTTATAGTGATGAATAACCCTGAGTGTGCATGAAAAAATATTTTCAGATCCTGCACAGAGTAAGCTCCTTTAACCTGCTTCTGAGCTTGTAGAATCCCTTGAGGAATTACACAAACCATGATAAATTACGGGCTGTTGAGAACTAGTAGGAGGAAGCCGTTCTGTTCCCCTCACCATTTTTGGGGGGGGGGGGGGGAGGGGGGAATGCAATCCTATACCCCAGGATCTCATAGCCCGCCGTGGAATGCAGGAAAAGGGGGTATTAATTCACACATATGGGTAGCCCTTGACTTACAACCATGATGGAACCCCGAATTTCTGTGGCCAAGCGGGGTTCTTAAGTGAACTTTGCTCCGCTGTTAAGTTAGCAATAGAGCCATTTGGTGAATCTGGCTTCCTGCAGCACTGAATTTGCTGGCCAGCAGGTCGTAAAAAAGGGGACCAAGTGATCCCAGAACACTGCGTCCACCATAAACACGAGCCGGTGGTCCGAATTTCCATCGTGTGACCGTGGGGAGGCTCCAATAATTGTTAGGTATGATAAATGGTCTACTTGCATTTTTTTTACAGGCTTTTGAACTGCTAGGTTGGCAGAAGCTGGGACAAGTAACGGGAGCTCGCTCCATTCCGCGGCGCTAGGGATTCGAACCGCTGAAACTTTCTGATCGACAAGCTCAGCGTCTCTTAGCCGCAGAGCCACCGCGTCTCATAATGAGAGGTAAAAAGAAGCCAATTGATTTACACCAGAAATGCTTCCTCCTGTTTTCCCCACCCGGACTTTTTATTTAAAAAAAAAACAGTTAATACGTGCGTTAAGATCGAATCGATTTACCTATTGTAATGACGTTTGTGGAAAGGAAGGAGCCGGGTTGTCCCGAATCAGGAAGCATCTTGTCCAAAGCCATCCCACGTCCCGCCTTACGATTTTGTGCCTCTTGAGTTTTGGAAAATGGAAGTGTTTATAGAAGGATCTTCAAATTCTGCCGGTCTTTATGTCACGGTCACAAGGAAGACACCAAGTCTGTTCTTTGACCCATATTTGTCTGGTACTTTTCCTTCAGTTTGATAACAGCTGACCAAGTGACCAATCTTTTCTCAGATCTGGTCTGTAAAAGTCTTTAATAACAATTCAAGAGGTGGGATTCAAGGTTTTTCTGCCCAGAAAGTACATGTTCTACAATCACTGAATTAAATTGCCTTTATGTAGTTCCCATTCAACCTCTGGATTCAGACTTCTCTCTCCTTTTTAGCCAAAAGACTGCTCAGGATTCCCAAGAGATTCGATCGGTGCCTTGGTCACAATCCGTACCAGTCCCGGCGAAGAATCAAGTTCATATCCATACCATCTTTCAAAGCAGGAAACTTTAGGTCGTGGTGTTGCATCGGCGGTCCCCAGATCTTTAGAACCTCCAGGATTTCTTTCTTTAGGAGTTGGTAAAATAGCTGAGGAGGAAAACAGCGTAAGATTAGCATGTTTACTTTCTTCTTCAATCCTGTGACCTTCAGCAGAAAAATATCTATTTTGATTAGTTAAAAAAAATACATGAATGAGCTGAGATGGATAGCCTAACCAAACTATTAAAAAATAAACAAGATAGTGACTATTATGAAATATGGATCATTTGGTATGAGTGGTTAAAGAAAAGGTGATATTTGGATAAGTTATGGAAATGGCAGAACATGTGGATTTAATCACAAACTATATAGAGAAAATAAAACATTAAAAGAACGAAGGAGTTATTTTAACAAGGCAGATCCGTCAATGATAAAGAAATTTTTTTTAACCATTGCTCAATATATGCTGTAAAATGTATGTATGTATGTATGTATGTATGTATGTATATTTGTCTATTTTAAATGTATGTCAAATAAATGTTTTTTCTAGAATAAAAAAAAAATCTATTTTGACAGCAACTAAGATTCAGATACAGATAATCAGAGTTGGAAGGGACCTTGTAGGTCATCTAGTCCAACCCCCCGGCCCAAGCGGGAGACCCTACACCATTTCTGACAGATGGCAGTCCAATCTCTTCTTGAAAGTCTCAACTGATGGCGCTCCCACAACTTCCGAGGGCAACTTCTGTTCCATGGGTTGATTGTTCTCACTGTCAGAAAGTTTCTCCTTATTTCCAGGTTAAATCTCTTCTTGTTCACTTTCCATCCATTATTCCTTGTCTGGCCTACAGGAGCTTTAGAAAATAGCTTGACCCCTTCCTGATTCAATGCGTGATTTGCTGTCTGGACATGAAACACATGATTGCTGTATCATCCTGAGAAATTTTGATCTAACTTTTTTTTCAGCCTGCTTCTATGATGAAGTTATGTAATTACTTGGCTGGTTATTTGAACTTCCAAACTAGTTTTAGAGGGAAGAAGTTGATCAGAATTGATGCATCTCTAATCTCACTCATCCATTCAGTCTGGGTCCTTGACCGAATGACTCCATGACTCAATGAATTCCCTTTTAAAATGGTTCCCTTTTAAAACTGAACCTCTTGAGTTGAGGAGTCCTGCGTTCCTTTGATGGATGACATTCTGAAGTCCCTGGAATGGGAACAGGGTTAGTTTGAAATGAAAACCATGATAAATAATTTCCTGTCCTGAATTTGACTATCCTTATGCGTCCGTGTAAGGATATTCTATTTTTCAAATGACAAAATTTTCCCTTCCCTCTGCTACCTCCCACAAATTTACCATAAATAAAGTTGCTATTAACATCTAAGCAAAATACTTTTCTTGATTACTCACCAAGCCCTAAGTATTCCTTCATATAATGTTTTTTTAAGGGGGGGGCAGGGAGACAGACATTACTGGTAGTCCTCGACCTATAACTGCAATGGAGCCCCCAATTTTTTGTTGCTAAGTGAGCTCATTTGCTAAGTGAGTTTCACCCTATTTTGCCACCTTTCTTGCCATGGCTGCTAAGCAAATCACTGCAATTGTTAAGCTAGTCACACGGTTGTTAAGTGAAAATGGCTTCCCCGGTGACTTTGATGGCTGCAAAAGATGATCACATGACCCTGGTACACTGCAACCGTCGTAAGTGTAGGTCAGTTGCCAAGCATCTGGCTTTTGAGGGAATTATTTGTTTAGTAGAGTGATGACGTTGGGGGAAAAAAACATCCTTGTGTTTAGTTTTTCTGGTGTGCAGGGCTCTATAGCCTCGTTTTGAGGGTGGGAGTTGAAATAGTTTATGTCCAGGATGTGTGAGGGGTCTGTAGATATTTTCCCGGCCCTCTTTTTGACTCGGGCAGGACACAGGTCCTCCATGGGAGGCAGGTTGGTAGCAATTGCTATTTTCTGCAGTCCTATTATACAGGTGCATATTTATATCAATATGCAGAGAGATTGTATCCAAAAACCAGATCCTATTAATCAATCGCAATATGTTTTATTGATTTATGTCCTTTCTCCGCGAGAAAATGTGGCTCTGCTGAACGATCGTTCAAAGGTCACGCGTCAAGCCAATAAGGAAGTAGCTAAGGAAGAAAACGGCAACCGATTTAAACGTTTAGTGTCATTTACATAATACATGTGCAGTGATTGATTTTTGGCACGCCCTTCTTCCTGGAGAAAGTCTATCCAGCGGCTCATGCTTGGCACCAACTTTATGGCATAACTGATCGACACATCGATAAATTTTCTTCTTTTCTCTGTTTACTGGAATCTCTACGAGCCAGGGAACGGTTTATGGCAGTGGGGAAGCTGGGATACCCTCAAAAATGGGGTGTGTGTGTGTGTGTGTGACACCAGTTCTCAGACTTCTCTCAGAAAGGCTGCAATTTCCCTGTTCGCGGTGCATTTCTTTGTTTAAAAAAAACCAACAACTGCCAAGACATTTGAGCTGGTGTAAAAAAAAAAACAAAAAAAAAAAACAATCCCGTTGGAAGATATGAAGAACCGATGGACTGTTGCACAACTGGCACTCCCTTCTGCAACTCTTGTAAGTGCCATAAAAAAGAAGGACACGGGAATGAAAATTGCACCAGTATTCTTGATAGAACGTAGAATAAGAGGGTTGGAAGGGAGTTTGGAAACCCTATGCTATCCCAGACACATGGCTATCCAGCCTCTTCTTGAAAACATATATTCTTATATGTTTATAGAGAACAGAATAGAATAGCAGAGCTGTTATTTTGTTTCTTCTGGTTTGAAGCAATCAATTCAATCAGCCGGAAGGGACCTTAGAGGTCTTCTAGCCCAACCCCCTTTTCAAACAGGAGGCCTATATCATTCCAGAAAAATGGCTGTCCAGTCTCTTCTTGAATATATATCTTTATCTATCTATCTATCTATCTATCTATCTATCTATCATCTATCTACAAACTCTCTCATCTATCTATCTATCTATCTATCTATCTATCTATCTACCAGTCATCTATCTATCTATCTATCTATCTATCTATCTATCTATCTATCTATC